CCATCTGTTTATGTCTTCCTCTATCTCTTTTTTCAACATCCTGTAGTTTTCTGAGTAGAGGTCTTTTACCTCTTTAGTTAAGTTAATTCCTAGGTATCTTAATTTTTTTGGTGTGATAGTAAATGGGATTGCTTTTTTAGTCTCTCTTTCTGTAAGTTCACTATTGGTGTATAGAAATGCCATAGATTTCTTGGCATTAATTTTGTATCCTGCTACATTGCCGAATTCATTTATTAAGTCTGATAATTTTTTGATGGAGTCTTTAGGGTTTTCTATGTACAGTATCATGTCATCTGCGAATAATGAGTTTTACACCTTCTTTTCCAATGTGGATACCTTTTATTTCTTCTTCTTGTCTAATTGCTATGGCTAGCACTTCCAGAACTATTTCGAATAGGAGTGGTGAAAGTGGGCATCCCTGTCTCCTTCCTGTTTTTAGGTGAAATGGTTTTAGTTTTTGCCCATTGAGTATGATGTTGGCTGTAGGTTTGTCATATAAGGCTTTTATTATGTTGAGGTATTAGCCCTCTATTCCCACTTTGCTGAGGGTTTTTATCAAGAAAGGGTGTTGGATTTTGTCAAATGCTTTTTCTGCATCAATTAATATGACTATGTGATTTTTATCTCTCAATTTGTTTATGTGATGTATTACGTTTATTGATTTGCGGATATTATACCATCCTTGCATCCCCAGTATAAATCCTACTTGGTCATGGTGTATGCTCTTTCTGATGTAATGCTGAATCTGATTTGATAGAATTTTGTTGAGGATTTTCCTTTGCCCAGTTTTTAAATGGGTTGTCTGTCTTCTTGGTGTTGAGTAGTATAAGTTCTTTATATATTTTGGAAATTATCCCCTTATTATATGTATCATTGGCAAATATGTTCTCTCATTCAGTGTGTTTCCTTTTCATTTTGTTGATGGTTTCTTTTGCCCATACACATTATTATTGTCTAAAACACGTCTTCTTGGTAGTAGCTAGGTCCTGCCTCCACTGTGCTTGGCTGAGTTCACAAATCTCTTGTACCCTGTAGCTTTCCTATCAGTTCCCAGACTCTCCTCCCCTGCTAAGCTTTGTTTCCAGTCAGTAATTAAAACCTTCTTCTGCTGCTAGAACCACCATAGATTCCTTGGTTTCATGGGTTGGCAAAGGATTGGTCTGCACCACCATAGGGGCCAGAGTTTCTGCCTCCAAGTTTCCTTATTTCATGGGTCCAAACTTTGAAGATTGATTGTTATACCAGTAATTGCCAAAATCATTGTAGCTTCAACCACCTCCAAAATTGCTTCCATCATTACCAAATACACGATAGTCATCCCAGCTACCAACATATCTACCACTACCACGGCTGCCACCAAAGCCACCTCGACCACTGAAGTTTCCTCCACAACCAAAGTTGTCATTCCCACCAAAGCCACCTCTGCAACCATTACCAAAGTATCCA